GTTATACACTACTATGTTATACACTACTATGTTGTACAATATTGTATTATACAATAAATAAAAAGTGTGTCTCCCTTTGTTTGGTAGGAGGAAACGGAGAGGATACAGGAAACGTTGAAGAAGCAGGAGGAGCGGATAAAGGAAGCCGTGAAGGAGAAGGAGAGAGAGGACCGCGACGGCTACAGGAGGAGGTAGGTGTGGTCGGAGAGAATGTAGGTGTATCGCGCGTAGATGGCGCCCCGGCACCGCGCGTAGATGGCGCCCCCGGCACCCCGCGTAGGTGGCGCTGGTCGCGAACAGTTTCTCGTTTTTTTTTCGATTACTGATTTTTTTCCCCGATTTCTTGTGCATTTCAGACGAAGCCGCCCCCGACACCTCTTGTAGATGGCGCCCCCGGCATCCCACGTAGATGGCGCCTGTCGCGAACTGTTTCTCGGCGCGAAAATGCAAAAAAAAAAATTCCGATTTCTGATTTTTTCCCCGATTTCTCGCGCGCTCCAGACGCAGTCGCTCCCGCTCGCCGAAGCAGCGTCGCCACAAGAGGGAGCACAGCTCGTCGAAGTCGCCGCGGCTCGGACGCAAGTCCAAGACTCCACCTCCGTCGCCGGCGAACGCTCCCTCGCCGACCCCGGCCAAGTCGACGGCAACTCTCGCGGAGGGAGACGCGGCGACCCAGGTGGCGCCGGCGGCCGGGGTCGCCGCTGCGGAGATCGCGGCCGGCGACGTGAACGGCGTGAACGTGGGGGAGCCACCGGAGTGAGTATCGCCGCGCGCCGCTTGTTTCGGTGTGCAGGAGGGGGGGGGGAAGCTGTCGGCTCGAGATTAAAATTAAATTAAAAACTTTTTTGAGATGTTAAAAATTAAAATTAAAATTTTAATCGATTGTAATTGTGACCACCATTCATTCATCGTCGTCGTTGTTGCAGGGAAGGCGAATAATCAACCTGTTAATTAACACGGCACGATTAGTTGCAAGCGAATAATTATTGAGGATTAATGAGTAATAATAACCATTTTAGTGAAATGTCGTTTGGTAAATTTCTTTATATATTAAAATTTTAGATTTTATGTTTTTTAATATTTTTTGTTTACATTTTTAAAAATGAAATGCAATTTATAGAAAAATATTAAAAAAAATTAAAATATTCTAATAAATTGTAATTATGATATGACATCGTCGCAGAGAGAGCAAGGCGGTCGACACAGAGAAAGCAGAGGCGAAGGAGGAGAATAGTAAGAGCAAGGTGGACGAGAAAGAGGAAGCCAGTAAGAAGGACAAGGAGGAGGGTCGCGATAGAGACCGAGAGAGGGAGAGGGACCGAGACCGAAAGAGCGACAGGGATCGGGAGAGGGAGCGAGAGCGAGAGAGGTGAGCGTCGAAGTAGAAGCATAACTTTTACGGTAGCGCACTGTAATTACAATTTTAAAATTATCAATTAATCGTAATATTGCGTAAATTCTTTCTCGTAAATGTAATTAATGATTAATTCTAATTTTGGCGTAATTGCGTTGTAATCAGTAGAAGCTTAACTGTCGTTTCTTTTAACACGCTAGAGAGAAGGAGAAGGACAGGAGGAGGGACAGAGATAGGGACAGAGAGAGAGACCGGAGAGGGAGGTCACCTTCTCCCCGACACAAACGCCGATCAAGGTAAGTCCTGTTTGTCGGTTGCCGGCGGCAACGACCTTTGGCGAGAATCGTGGCGTTGTTGCATTGTACGCCGAATGGCTTGAACATATCTAAAATTTTCTAACGTATTTGGAGGAGATCACGCCACACCAGAGAAAGAGCGAGAGAGGAGTCGGGAGCTTAGAAGGATAGGTTGGGAGAAGGGTAGGGAGAGAGATATAGAGAAAGACAGAGAGAGAGAGATAGAGAGAGTGAGAGAGAGAGAGAGAG